AAAAACAAAATAAAAAGTAAAATAAAGCTTTTGTGCTACTTTCCTTAAAAGAAATATGGAAAACAATGAAGTTAAAAAAGAAAGTATGAACAAAAACAATCCAAAACATGTGGGATTGACAAGCCTGACACCAAGCATAACTAGCTATTGTAGTTATGATAGAAATTATCCATTAAAAAAATTATGATAGTTCAATGTGCAAACATATGCACTATGGAATGGTGTTCTAAAAATCTGATCAAATATCATTGTGTTTTCCAAACTCAGATGAAAAAGATACAAATTCACAAAGAGACATAGTAGAGGAATTGTGAAACTATTCCATTAGAATAAGGCTACTCAATTTAAGGCCTTTCTAATCTTCTCTGCAGTAGATTGAGAAACACAGATCGTTAATGGCTGTATTGATCCAGCTAACCATAAATGAAAATAATTAAGGAGCTAGTTGTAACAAAATGGCTGAAGGACTACAGGCTGAGTAACCATGCATTAGAATATCTAAATAAAACCAACAAAGTAAACAGAGCTAAATTCTATAAATGAAACACTACATACTTTACACACTGTATTATACAGTCTATACTTATGTTGTTTCAGATCAGCATTTTCACAAATAAGATGGGACAGTTTTGTTGTTATTATGTCGTTAGGGTGGAGGTAAAGGTAAGGAAGCTTATGATTAATTTGTCTTTACTAAGAAGTGGGCATGGAAAAACTGGATTAAGTTTGTTGAAGACAAGTGCATATTTAAGGCTAATAACTCTTAATTTTGAGTTATTAGAGTGTACCAGAATATCTTGCCTTAAAGCATGCAGTGGGTGGTATTTTTTATCAATTTGACATTACTTTTTAAATGAACTATTTATATAGTAAGAGGGACAAAGGTACATTTAAAAATTCATTTTTAGTGAAAACTGCACTTCTAGTTCAAGGCTAACCACATAAGCAACAGGTCTGTTTTGCTTTTTCATGACAATTCACTGGCAAAAGTGCAAACATTGTGGTAGATTTACATATTATGGCGACATCAGACAAACATGAAAAGGTTTCATCAGAGAAATACATGCCACACACATCATCTTTTTTTTTTTAAGTTCTTGGCAAAGAGGTACTTAGAAGACCACAAGATTATATTATCCAGTAGAGACAAAACAAATGACGTCATGGGGTGAGCTTACATTCTGATGGCTAGCCTAACAATACATTTTTTAAAACAATATGCAAGACTTCGTTTTCAAGAATCATTCCCATTTGCTCTGAAGAGACTCACTGACAATTTGACTAAGAATGTGTACCATGGATCTAGACAAAACAGCTTATTTTTTTCTTTTTACGTAACCAATAAATGACTACAGAGACGAAAAAATCCTTAGTTTTAAATAAACAAATTTGGAGTGAAGAAGGGAAATTTCACTTCCAAGTAAAAAAAAACTAAGTTGTGAAAAAACCTTAAAATCATATGAAACATTCCATCATATTATATTGTTGATGATCAAAAACTGGCTGGTACCAGCTCTTAAAGGGTACTATAATCGTCCCAGATAATAATATATAGTCATTCTGAATACCCAAACACTTCTATTAGGAGCGAACTTCACAATCAAGGCCATGGCCATGTCAAAACTCTAGTTGAAGACAGCCTGAAAATATTATGTTGTGGCCACAGTTGACAAGACTGCTTAGACTGCAACCAAGGGAAAACAAAAGTAGTTTGTGAAAGACCTTGACCAAGAAAGGCAGATGTATGAAAGTGAAGTCCCTGGAAACTGGGCAGGCGCTATAAGGCATGGGAGTGAAGCAATTCATCCCACACATCCTGGACAGTAATTGCTGAATACAGTGGGGCTGAAAGAAGTGGCAGTGGGCCGCTCTGTCAAATGCTTACAAGTCATATGCGTGGGCTGTTCCATGGGTTAGTTAAAGGTGGGGGTTTTTTTCTTTTTCTTTGCTTATTAGAAATACAGCTTTATTTCTTATAAGATGAGAGAAACAATTTAAACGCTAATCACCGCAAACAAACTCAGAAAATCTGAGAAAAGAATACAAAAAACCATGACGTAGTGGTATATTACATTACAAAAAGACTGAACATTAACTGAACTAATTTTCATTTTTTTGTGTTTTTAAAGAAATTCGACAAGACAAGAAAAGACACAATTCTCATGTCCAAGAGTAACAGGCTAGATATTTTATATTAAGTAAGAAATTTGACCACTGTCTTAAAATATAACTAAACAAATTTTGGTTTCCAGCTTTAATATCGAGCCAAAACTGTCAGACTGGGTTATATGTATTAAATCTGTGGTGTGAACTGGTCTGAAGACCCTGGTGACCTAACTTTCAAATTCAGTGCAGTCCTCATATGTTGATGTATTTTGATTATTTTGGTTTGTAATAAACCACAACTTCAAAAAGAAAAAAAATCATTTATATGAATTTCCATGTATGAATTTACTGGTCATCTAATACCAAATGTAATATTAGATCTTTCAAGGTTTAACCTGGTTTTAAGACTATGTGACATCCTTTTAAACATCTTTCCACCCAACTATATATCATACAACTTAGACCAAACTTTTAATTTAAAGGTTAAATGTTTAACCTTCATATTGGACTACAGATTTGGTTGCAGCTTTACTAACTAATAATAACAGTACTGTTGTAAAATTACATTAAATGCTCATCTCGATGTTATGTCTATCACTGTTCATCTGTGATAGAAATAAGGAATAAGAAATAAGAAAAAGTTATTGTTGACCCTCTGTTACTGTTCCAACTAGTTTTAACAGAAATACAGTCAAATTCAGGCATCTGAATTCTCTTTTCATTTTCATTGGGTTGACACTACATAATGATATTAAAAACAACAGACTTTTTTGTGATTTATGCAGAAAGAAAAAATACACTTGGTTACAATGGTGGATTTCAAACTTTTTCCTATGGTATGATTATGGTTAAGAAAATGTATCAGTTCATGTAGCTTCTTAACATTGAATAAGGTGATTCTGCACATCCTGTATCTGCATTTATATTTTACAGGTAAACGACAGTATTTAATAGTTTTGAGACCATGTGATACCGGTTTAAACATATTTGCATCAAATTTATATCTTTAATCCAACTTCAAAGCTCTCTATGAGTGCAAAGTAAAATTTCTACAGTTTCTACAGTGGCATTTCTGTAAGACAAAGTGACCCGTTTAAAAAACATCCAGAAATATATTTTATATATACTATTTTATGTTTCATCAAGCAGCTTCCAAGTCAGAGCAGAGAAGGACAAATGTAGTCAAAATGTGATACACACCTCACAAGTACTTATTCCCTAGTACAAGAAATAAGCTGCTGTAGTGGAGGGGATTGCCAGAGTGGAATCACAGACACAAGGCTGAACATGTTCCACTTCTACAGTAAATACACCAAGTTCACCATTTAGTAAAACAGGGATTCCCCCTGACCATGTTTCCATAGGTTTTCTGTCATGCAGAAGGTGTGCCCCTATTAAAGTATTAATTGGAGAAGAAAACTAGTATGTGCGATAACTACAAGGTATTCCTATTACACAAGACTGAAAAATGGAAACTTCTGAGAACTGTTTTTTGTGTGACATTAAACTGTATTTACCATATTGTCATTATTCTGTGTGACACTGAGTAGCTTACACTGTAAATATATTATAACTCTTGTAATGTCCTGTTTCACTAACTTCAACATAAGTTGTGCTCTGAAAATTACACCATTTTATAATTGTTTTTAAACAACTACTAAACCTAGTGTATAGATAAACAGTGTACTTCTCAAATGTAAGGGTTTCTAACAGGTCTCAAGGGTTGTCCAGCATTTGCCCAGAAAGAGAGGAAATATTTCAAACCAAAGACTAGCAGGGTCTACTGCCCTACATTTTTCAGAATTTATTCTAAATGGTAGCACTGTTTATAGAAATAATATACTTTGGTTTGGTTTATGCTCAAATTAGGGTCCTTATAGAAGAGGTTTCCTAACAAATGAGACTTCCAGACAGAAAAGGTTTAAAATCCCTGCTCTAGGGTTAGGTATATCTTCTAAATATTCACACCATCAAAAGCTCCATGTAAAAAAGAAAAAAGGTACCAGTCAAAGAGAGCCTGTATTGATAGGTACATTATATTAAGGTACAAAGTGAAATGCACTGATGAAGACTGGGACTCATTTGCTCATCGGCATCATACAAAGGAGAGGTTAAGGGCCCATTCCATTTTTAGAGAAAAATAATAAATACTTGGAGAATCAGACTTCTCTGGAGACAGACAACAATCTGATATCATTCAGATCACTGGAGATTTCATTAACAAGGAAATGAAAAAACAAAATATGAGACACAAAGAAAGACTTTCGCCTTCATCCTGCCAGACAAAAAAAGAAAGCAGCCTGCATGGGAAACTCTTCAAAGAGAATCCTGGGATGGTGGTCTCTTGTACACATGAGGCTACAGGTACACTGTCTGAGAACCCCATTGTTTGCTTATCTGTTTCCTTTGACGGGATCCAGACAAACACTGTTTTGGCTGGGTCGTGCTCTTATCTTTCATGAAGCCTATGAGGCTGGTCATTTTACTTTTTCCATTATGACAGGCACTAGTTATGTTTGTGTGCCACAATGTGTAAAGCACTGTTTTCTGATTTAATTTAACAGGATGCTTTTATTTATTTGGGCTATTATGGGATAATTAATATAATTAATAGACTTGCTGAAAAATAAAGAAGTGTCTTCAGGTTTATGCTTTTCCCTTTGAATTTCAGGTGAGGTACAGATAAATACAAAATATTCCGAGCATCTTGATAAAAAGGTCCTAATAGAGATAGTAACAAAGTGTGGAATACTCTGTGGTATTATAAATACGATATCAGAAGCCTAAAGCAACAACTTAAACACCAGAGATATATTTAAAGCAGAATACTTTGTATCTAACAAATGCAGGAAAAGGCACAAGAATCATGTGTAAATCAACATTTATGAACATACCATCATTAGTGATTGCAGCAGGAAATACTTCCTTCAGTAAATCACCTAGGGTGTGTGACTGGCCTTCTGCAGTAACAGGCCGAAACAGTTTCTGAATGAATGGTCTGTCGCTCATTGTCTGTAGAAAAAGCAAAAATAACATTTGTTTACTATTTATTTACAACTGGAGACAAACATTAAGGATCAAGTTGAAGTGTTACAGCAACAAAGTTCTTGATTCCTATACCCAGGAAATCCCCTCTGTACTGTACTGATTTTTTATTAGGTGCTATAAACAATGATATGATTTCAAGGCAACACAGTGAAAAAAATATGCCCCAGAGCTATTAATAACTAATTCTTAATTCTTGAGAGTAACATGTTTGGAGTTTTATAAATAATTTCTATATATTTTTGTTTTACACATATATTGATTTTTTAAATTCACATATATATATATTAAATGTAGACAGCCTTTGTGGAAGCTGAAGGCACCAAAAAATAATATTCAAAATTACAGATTATACTAGAAATGATTTATAGTTCTTTTAAAATCTCTCAACAAAAAGTAAGTGAATAATGTTTTTATCAAAAGGAAATACAATTAAATAAAACAAAATTAAAAATAAACTCATGCTATACATGTTGCAGTTTTCAGATTCTTTTGGTGACCATGATATTTAGACAGGCTGATGGACAGGAATGCAGTAAATGCGATGGCAGTACTTACCACAAGACAAATATTGTGATATGCAGGGGGTCTGCTTGCTAACAGGCTATGTAATGTTTAATTCCAGTTTTTATTCAGCTTACTCAAGCACCACATATACGGTATTTTCCGAAGATTTTACATGTTTGCCTTAAATGTCTCCAAGGAAGCATACTAATAGACACCACTTCCTCTTTGTCTATACTGTCTCGAGAGGTTTATTAGATCCTCTGTCAGACCCCAAAATTTAACAACATATTAAACCCCTTTCGACACTCTATTGCACTGTAAATGAGTCATGTCAAGGCCTTGAAATCTAACTAACTCTTCTCACGCTGGAAGTGAAATAGTTTACATTGATAAAAAAAACTGATATCCAGAGTAAAAAGTGATACATTTGATACTAAGGAATTTAATTTTATTATTAAAACTGCTGGAGAATTTAACTTTTTTTTTATGTGGATATTTAATTCAATGTTAATAAGCCAAACTAGGATACATGTTGATTCAACTGTTTATTTTCAAAGCCAAGCTCTACGGACAAAATAAAAATAATACCAGATATAATTAACAGAAGTAAAAGAAGAAAGTATTACAGTACACTAGCACAAGTAATTAACTCAGACACAGCCCTATGCATGCAAGCTACAATGTCCTATAAACATCAAACCTGCTACACCAAAACTGCAGCCTCAGATTTGAGGATTTTAAACACTGCTATCTGACTTCTGGTTGCAAAAGGCTCCTAGCGCACCTTGACTGCTGCTTTTCTGCTGTGTTTTTAGTTTCTCAGTCATTTCATCTTCATCTGAATTTTTTAGTTGTTTATTTTCACTGGTACTTTTCTTTCACTTGCTAAATTTTGTTTTGTACTAGCCCATTCCTTATTTGTTTACAATACCTCCTGCAAGCTCTGGAGTGGCAAACATTTTTGGCTAGACCCTTCTCGCTGAAGACTTATCTCGTACCGATATTCCACCCTAGTCTGCTGAAGGCTTATATTCTGCAGTGCATAGTCCTGGCCATCTGACTATTGCTTATCTCCTCCATCCTGTGTGATGCTGGATCCGGATACTGCCATATTCCCCTGGTTTAATTCAGTATTTGCCTCACCAATCTCATCCTGTGATTCACTGTGAATCCTGTGTCATCTTGTGTCATTCTGTGAATCCTAAGCTTGGTCTTCTGTGAGTCAGGTGCTACAGCACATACGCATTACTCGTAAGCTATTGTACACCAATTAGATTTTTTTTTTAAAGTTCTTACAAATAAAATTTTATAAATATAAACTATGAACACAACCACAGGGCATTTAAGTATTTCAACTTTTTTAATTGGAATAGATGAAAACTAAAATTGTACATACAGTAACTTTATATGATAGTTGACCCATCAAATCCCATTTCTCTAAACTGCACAAATTGGTTTCAAAGTTCACCTGCTTGTTCTCACTGTGAGACCTGTGCAATGAGTAATGTTGGGTCAGCAATGACAGAATGAAGTATGACATGAATCCTTCAGTCCAAGAGCTTCTTTGGTTTCCATGAAGACCTGTTGGGTTCAGCTCTGGCAAGCGAGTCCTTCACAGCAGAACAGGCAACAGTAGATGAACCTCCTGGAATATCTGATCTGAGTGTCACTGGTTCTGGTTTACAATGAGTATCTGACGAATGCAGAGCATGTCCTATACCTTCAGAATTATTTTTCACTGAAGGCTAATATTGCCAAGGAAATCCAGCCATCACTGGATTGGTCTTGTTTTCCAGATATCAGACTCCAAAAGAAGGTTTTTTTCTCCTAGCCTAGCAAATAACATTGCACCAGATGAGGCCATAAGAAGTGTTCTAAAGATACGATAAAAAGTACACTTGAATCATTATCAAGTCGTGGGATATATGGGTCTTGAATGAATTAGCACTTAGAGACCCCAGGAAGTCAGAATGTGTAAGCAAAGCAAAATTGTCAAAGAGAGTTTGCTGTGATTGGATTCTGAAGAATCATGCTTCTTCCAAGATAACACCTGCTCAAGCTGCCAAAGATTATACAGATCCAATTGTCTTCCATGTACCTAAAGACAACTAATTAGACCTGTCATCAACTGATAGGGACAGCCTATAAAACTTTTCAAAAGCATAATATTTTTCTAAAAAACATTTTAAGATAAATACAAAATTAGTACTAGAATCACCTTTCAAATTGTTATACAGAAACATAGGAGACATTCCTTAACCACATGTAAAAGAATCATATATCTGCAGATAATCTAGATTTTGTGCATTTGAACAGAACAATGATTAAAAAATGGGACTTACTGCAGACACAAGTTATATAAACGGTGTTTGAAAACACAAAAGACTGTAGCTGAGTGACTGGTCCAAAGCACACACTAGGTCAATCTACTGTAGATAGTTCACGATCTGTCAATTAGAAGCTTGAAAATATTTTTGAAAATAACATTAATCTTGCATTACCCAAGTTGTGGAATAATTTCCACCACAAGCTGTCATAAACTAATCTCACTCATATTAAATGAATTACTGCAAGATCCTGGACACTATCCAATCAAAGCATCTTAATTTGACATTATTCCACCTCTGCTTATTCCTACTTGGGTGCTAAATAATTGAAGTAAATATCTATCAATTACATTCCAGCAAATATTGAACAAGGTCAAAGTTCAGCTATATCATAGGAATTTTAAAACCATAAACACCATCTGCTATCTGATCTGTTAGAATAAGGTAAAATTTCAAAGTTACCTTTTTCTTACGTATTTGAAACTTTATGAAAAATTCTACAGGTCCATCAGAAAAAAAACAAAAGACCTACTATTTCCGTAAGGTAAGGGAAACTAATTTCTTGTTCTTAACTGTCAAAAATAACAATGCTTTTAATCTGCTTTGTGAGAGTTGCCACTGGGAAAAGATGCAATCTGGAGAGACACTTCACGCCTCTTTACGAGTATTTGGAACAGTATTAGCACAGCACTGGAGGATCTACACACATTAACCTGCTGTTATAGGGTACCTCCACCCTATTTGCTATAACCTGAATAAGGCTGTCACTATAAATAATGGAGACTTAATTTTAAATGGTGGAAACTTTCTCATTTTACCTTTCTAATGTATGGCAGAGCTCCCTTCTTTTTTATTCCGCTTAGGTTCAATATAACCCCCTCTGTGGTCTAATCAAAACCCAGAACAAGTCTTTCATGACCTGTGTTCTGTGCTATCAGACAATGAGAAAATGAGAAAAAACATTAGGTAACTGAAGCACCTTTCGAAGTGGCCTGTTGTCAGAAAAAAAATTTAAGAGATTACTTAAATAATCTTAATCTTAATAATACTTAATAACATAGCAATGACGGTGATGGCAAAATCTTTATTTGAGGATTATAAAAACAGTGCTTGCTGGGATTTGCTCTGACTCCTATATAAAGTGTTTAGAAAATGGATGAATGGGCTGATGGAAGGATGGATAAATATAAATAGACCCAAAACCATCTTCTATTTGAACTGTCTTCTATTTCTGATGTGTAGTTTGGCGCAAACACCATCATAAGAAAAAGGTTTTGCACCATCGGCCAATGTAAAGGAGCAGTTCGGTACTTCCCAATGATTCTCAATTAAGTAAGAAGAAACAGTGGATTCAAATAACCAAAGAATGGTATTTCTTTGAATGGTGACTAAGAACTTGGCAGTAATTGAATATTTTTTTTTATTGTTGCTTTTGAAATCAACAAACAAAGCATGGAGAACTATTTTGTTGCAAAAAAATGTGGCGATTGAGACGCTAATAACAAGTCAATAACAACTGACGATGAACCAGCCATGACGATGAGGCATGCAGGTTTCACTGCAAATTGCAAAGCAAGCCCAGGCTTCCCTCATTACCTGAACTATCATTGTATTAGCCACCTTTAACTAGATGTCATTTATTAGCTATCAGCAGTGTGTCTCTTATTAGAAATGTTAATTCAAAATGCCTGTTACTAGAAATTTGAACTCTTCTAATCGACTTCCAATTGAAGTCAAGTCAAATATCCACAACTTTCTGGAGCCATGTGGAAGCAAAGAAGCACAAGAGCATGCACACAGTAACTGCTCTATTTGGCTCAGCGTACTGTTTCTATATGCTTACTCTTGTCACAAATTACATAGATTTCATCAACTTAAAGTTCTGAAAACTTCTGACCGGACAACACCATCTGAGTTAACACTCTTCAGTCATATTATGAATTGCAACAGGCTGGTAGATAGAACGCAGTGTCAAGCCTTGGCACTAAAATAAATCTATGCCCACATTTTTTACATATTAAATATCTAATATGCCAATTAAAAGAAATAAATGACATTTACATTTGATCGCAACCACTGTTTATAATGTATTTATTTAAATTGACCCTATTGTCAGAACAAAGAAACCAAGAT